CAAACTGCTCAGTCAATGCATGTCTGTATAAATTTATTTTCCATTTAAATAACTATCTTAACTATGACTAACAAAGTCAACATGGTAAAATTAACAGTTTAATGTTCCAGTAATTTGCAAAAAAGCCATCCCCAAATTCAATAGCATCTTCATCCTAAAAAAGAGAGATCAGACCAAGTTTAACTGTACTCAATAAAGTACACCCAGAGGACAGAGCCAGAGGGGAATAAAAACCATTGCAAACTGATTAACAATCAAGCTTGTAGCTTGATCAACAAGGTGCAAGATGCCAAGAAGTCTATTAAGCCATGATTATTGACTTTGCATTTGACAAGGCAAACAAGATAACATACTAGACTTTTAACAACCACTGTTGAAATCTGACAGTAAAATATTTTGTATCAGCACTCACACAGTCATCATGTTTAATGTTTTAAATTCATCTAAAGGATCAATAGAGAGACTAATAGATTCACTGGGAGGATTGAATATTGATTCATCTTAATTGTTTGGCTGAAAATACTCATGAGTTGGCATTAAATATGAGTGAAAGCTCCAGTGCAAATGCCATAAGAGTTCTATTCAAAAGCCAAAACTGGCAAGACATAGCCAAAACTCAAAAGATCAGTTATTGATCCTTTTTCATAAAGTATAGTTTTTCATAGCGTAACTAAGTCATGTACCATTGATCAAAAAGGCTGCACTCTGCAGCATATTTGCCGTTTTTAACATTAATTTCAAAAGAAATAAACTGCAACAGACGCTTTGGTAGTTGTCTATACCAAAGGCGAAAAACGAAAATGTTGTGAAAACCGGCTTACCTGAGGTAAAAATTGATATCCCGATAGGTGAATTAGGCCATTCACAGCATCATATGTAGAGCGAAAAATCACTTCTCCATTTAACTTGTTGAACAGGGAAAAAGAGTCTTTTTAGATGAAACGCGGAGAAAATATATGCCGAAAACAATACCGAAAACCAAAAATATTTTCATAAAAATCGGGAGGGTGATGGACACGTTTTTGACTTTGTATCGCGGTATGTCAGTGGTAATTACCATGGGCAAAGGGGACCATGTGGCGTCAGCAAAGCTGAAAATCCGCCATCTTTTTCGTTACACTTTTTGGTGGCGAGCCGGTCCTCCAGGAATTATTATATAGCTCAGTGCTCGTAACCCTTAGACAGAGCCCCGAACATATGTATCAATTTAATATGTGCATCGTATTCTTTTAGTTCCTAATGAAAACAATACCTTCACAATACGCTCTAATTTTGGCTACGCCTACGTCCATCGTTATGGCGTCAATAACTCGGCTGAAGTGCTTGCTATATCTAAAATATCCCCTCCTGCTCAATTTCGTTTCATAAATCAGAACGTGATTCAGGAAATAAGCACCGGAAAATGTATTGTGAAAAAGACCGACGACTACATGGAACTTACCTTTATCTGCGATGGACCCTTTGCTCTCAGGTGGCGTTACGAATCCTCTACTACATCTTTAGTTGCTCAGAATTTCAATAGAAAGTTCTGCTACGCCGCATGGGGAACATCGATGCCTCCTACTGTCAGACCAGGTTTGGCTCTTTGCAGAGTTTATGGTAATGTCGTTTTGGAAGGCTATAAGGATTGACAAGGATTGAGTTTACGAGGTCATAACATTTAATAATTAATTTACACACTGTGTCCGGGTGTCCGACCACGTGTTTTTTATGTTACCATGTTTTCGAACGTAATGCGAATCTATTAACCATATTTTTAATTGGTTTGTAATTTTCTTATTGTATACGTATTTTGTACGGCTCGATTAAGGGTGTGCTTTCAGAACATGAAACCTTAGGCTTAGTTTAAACTTTATTATAGCCCAATGATTGATAACTTTATTAATTGGAGCTTGTGAGTATTGCAATTCACCGGCCCCTTGACCTTGTGAGAATACCTATAAAGAAATGTAGAACAATCACAAGATAAATCATACTTGTTTAAGTTGTTTTGATGGGAATTTTTTCACTTTGGGGCCGATTTAGCGACAAGTTATAGTTTTTATCCTTCCACTTTTCCGTCACAGCGTAGCCTAGCTCACCGCGAGTGTCATAAAACAGTTTTTAGAACAAAAATGAGTTAATATGAGAAACGAAGAGACATATATGTATGTCCTCATCACTGTCTTAGATTTTTGGTATGAATAACAAAATAGATTATTTCTCAAGACTTTAAAATATTGCTATATTTTATGTTGTTTAATAACTGCGAGGGGTTTAGGAACTGTGGGCCTTGTTGTTAAAATGCGCGCCTCGATATCTATTGTTGTTATCATTATCTATAGTTCGGCCGAGAGCAAGACGTTTGAAACAGGCGTTATTAAGATACAAAATGCCGTATAAAATTACTTGCAAAAAAGTCGTTGTAATTTTGTTGCCAATTGCTCTGGAGCAACAAAATTTGCACTAAAGTAGAGTAAGTAATAAGTATATGCAAGTTATATAGTGTTTGCAATTTTTAAATACACCCTGCATGTGTAGCATCAAACTTGCATAATATGACTATACATCACCGCTACGTCAATGACAGTCAGAGCACCAGCACGGACACGGTCCAGAAAATCTGAACTGAGGGGCTGTTCCCATGTATGAGCCCGGTTACCGAGATTTAACGAAGCGTAAAATGGACTTTGAAATATTGAGATGAGTAAATAACATTATCCTGGTAGTCGTGTGATCATCCTAACAATAGCAAGTCATTGTTCTGTTTCAAAGACTCATTTCAATACTTCAAAATCATTTTACGCTTCGTTAAAACTCGGTAACAAGGCTCATGTGAACGAACAACCCCTTGTTGGCATGAGCCTGGTTACCGAGATAAGTCTTTTTGAAACAGAACAATAACATGCTATTGTGAGTATGATTACACGACTACCAGAATCTTGTTTTACTCATTTTAATACCTTGATTCATTTCAAAGTCGTTACGTTTTAATTTACCCTTCATTAGATCTCGGTGCCCCGGCTCATGTGAACAACCCCGAAAGGCTATTCTCCATTACCGCCCACTTTACATGCGCGAGCCAAGCGGCCTTTGAAAATCTTCCAATGCGACCATGCACGGTGCAAAAACAAAACGCGCTTCGCCCGCGCGTGCGGATGGGACGTAAAGCCGGTTTTACACTAGCGATATTTTTCGCGCGAAGCGACTTTATTCCTTTGTATTTGAGCAATTTGTTCCAGATGGTTGCTGTTGAGAGCTCTGAAACAAAAGTAAAATGTCGCTTCGCACGAAAAATATCGCTAGTGGAAAACCGGCTTGATAGAGAATCGCCTTAAAACACTTAGACCGGCTAAAGACGGAGATTTTCGTTTTTTGATCGATTATGACTTATCGATCTGTCTAGACCACTGGCGGTGAAAGTGCTAAGGCTATAAGCCTTGTTGTTTAACACGGTTCACCGTTAACAAATATTCTTCAATTTTAATTATTTGTATATTTCATAGCACGGTTAAGTGATATAACCAGGCTAATTTCACTGGACACTTTGGACAGCCAGGTCTTATCTAAACTTTCTGGAAGATTTTTTGACTTGATTTTCGGAGTGAACATGTGTACACTTTGGCGTGGCCTTCCTGCATAATTATATAGCTATACATATATCGGAATAATACTGAAAAGTCTGTAGATTTCAATTACTAAACCCTGGCTGTTCAAGTCCATTTACACTGAATCAATTTCATCAAAGCTAGACGTGTATGTATATAAGTTAGTAAATAATATAGTAAGTTTGCACTAAGCCTAGAAGTTAGAAGTGGCATGACCTATGACTGTAAAATTATGTAAATGTGTGATGTTAATGTTTGATCAGGAAATAATAAAGTGCTAACTTGGTATTATGTTGACAAAAATTTGTGTTGATTTGTTGTCTGAAGTATCGTAACATTCGTATTTCGGAGACATATTATATCGGAGATTATTCACAACGCTGAATGATATCACTGATATGTAAAGTAGGATTTGGGAATAAGGTAAAAAAGGGCCATGAAATACAAATATGGGCATCACCATAGAGGCGTGGCATAATGAGCAGACTACGAACTTTATCATTGCTCAGTCGCAAAGTAGATGCTTGGGAACAGGGGCATAATAAGAATGATAGTTGGCGGAGGCATTAGGTGTTTGTTTATTCATATAATTTATTCAGTTCTGCCAAACGGATTCTTATGTAAGTGCATTAGCTTCGCCGCTATCTTCGAAGTCAAATTTGAAGATAGTTTTTCTTAGTTTTTGAACGTTTGAGACAGACGCAGAGAGTAAATATCTAGGAATGTCTAGAACTATGTAAAGTACACTAATTTATTAATAATTTGCTCTGTTTTTCAAAACGTTTTTGCTTTTAATTTTTGGCTTCAACCAAATATAGCGCTGGCGTTCTAGGTTTTATTACAGTTCACTGGTTCTGTCACAATACCCAGAAATATGCAAAATACAATGTCTAGAACTATGTAAAATACAGTCATTTGCTAATTTTCCTAAGAATTAAACAAGAATTAATTGAAAAGCAACGAAAATTCTTTTTCAAACAGTTTGCTTGTCATTTTTGGCTTCAACCAAATAATTTTATAGCGCTGGCGTTCCATACCCCGGTGTATACTCTCAAACTCCGGGGGTAAAATTAATTTTAAGTACCCTCGCTCAGCGCCGGCTCAGGGAATATAGAAATATTTATTTTTAATACTCAATAAATTATAGACTATGTACCAAGAGAAAACACAAGCATTCAATTGAACATTCATTTTTAAACTGTGCAGCAAAGAGTTTACAAAAATAATAGTAGTTATATTAACAGATCAATCAGAATGCAGTTCCTGCAATTAATTTCTTTTTCACTGAATTATATTTAAATAAATTGTTTCCTTAATTATCGCACTAATTCATATACAACAAAATTTAATTATAACTTGTATAAAATCTCATTCACACTGATAAGGTTAATAATTAATGACATATTTTATATCTCAAAAACCTGACATGAACATTTTATAAATAGCTTGAGCAGCAGCGCTGGCCTTTTGCTTTTTAGCTGGATTGACATTATGCTGACAATCCATGGGATCTTGACTGTTAGACACAGAAAACTCTAAATCCTGCAAAAATGTAAACAAAAATTGTCACAGTGGCGTAAGGGAGAGGATAACTGGAGGGGCACATATTCATATATTCATGTTAACAGACCTGTGAAGACAATGGATTTGAATACAAATTAATCTTGCACGACATGACTACATGAATACGTGCCTCCCAATTATCGTCTCCCGTACGCCACTAATTATTGTGCCGTGTAATAATTATAATCTTCTTTCCTAGGAACGTTCAAATGCCGAAATATAGAAATACATGTTCGCTAAAAACTACTTTCGCGAACTACTGGCGCACAACTACAAAGCTTCTTTTCATTAACCCATGCACCTGCCGCGTTGAAGCTTGATGTGGCTGTCTGTGTAGTTTTAAAAAAATTCTTGTAACGTGGAAAGTAAAAATAACTTACATTATCGATCGCAGACATTACTCTTTTACGGCTTCTCAATTTACTCTTTTGGTCAACGACTTCTGCTACCTGGAAAACAGTTGATAATTACAGTAAAACACGCAGTGCGATTGTTTAATAACCGTGCAGAATGTGAACATTCTGCAAGAGGAAACTAATTGCCTTCGTTCGAGGGATTTTAAAAATGTTTTAAAACGTTATTTTGATGTAGAAACTTAATGAGAGAATTAATTGCTGAATGGTTCTTTTTTGTGTGGTTGCACGAATTATGCATTAGGTGTTTTGGAAGTCGGTGTAGAGTTTTGGAAACCCTGAAATACACTCACATGCAATGAGTTTATAGCTCTTGTTTCCCGTGTGCATTCTCCACACGAAAAACTATTTGGTATACGCCTTTTTTAATTCTACTTCATAGAAATAATTTATAGTGAGTTGTTACCTTACTCGTCGCTTTTGCAGATTTTGCCCGATACTTGCCAGAAATATCGATTTCCGCTGCTTTATTAACCATCCTTTGCAATTCCTATCAATTAAGTCGATGCAAATGTTTGCAGTTCAATATCTGCCGTAAACATCAATAATCTTAACTGTGACGCTAGCAATTGGCTTATCAAAAAGAAAACATAGAATACCATGAAGCCGTTGTTTTTTACTTAATTTTTAGGTTTTATCTGCAGTTTTTCTAATTTTATTCCAAAATCATTTCGAAATTCCTGTGCATATATAGACGTCATTATGCATATATGCGGGGTAAAAAAAGAATTTCACGGACAATACTTAATACTTACTTAACCATTCAATTATCCACGAAAATTAATCTTTTATAAAAACGTACCTCTTCGTCCAAAGATTCTTTTTCTTTACTCTCCAGTTTCTCATTCTGCTGTGATGTTGATTCCGTATTCCGCTCAACCGCATCCTCAGATGGGTAGAAATATTTTTTTAAAGCTTCAGTAGTGACCTTCTCTTTCGTGATTAATTTTCCAAGCCTGAAAATTACAAATTTTACTGTTTAGACACTTCATAGAGAGCAAGTGTACAACCGAATTTTGGTATAGTAACGATGCATGATATGGGAAATAAGATTGCACTTCTCATGTCATGCAGCTACGATGACAGCCAGTATTAGGTTTCAAATATGAAACACTGTGACCACCTATATTAGTGTTGAAAATCCAGGGATTGGTAACAGGTTGTTCATTTTAAGGCCGATCTACACGATGCGATTAGTCGCATACGATTCGTATGCTGGCGTATGTATTCGAATAAATGCGTGTAAAGGTTTCCCATTTTAAGTTTCGTTATAAACTGATGAACAGACAGTTGCAGATGAGTGACGTTACTAATCTTTTTCATACGTCAGGATAAGAATCGTATACGACTAATCGCATCGTGTATATCGGCCTTTAGGTTGTTTGTTAATTCGCTCGATTGGTCTTTATATCCTAAAACCTGAACTCGTACATAACTGATGTCCCGAGCAGTCAACTTTTGAATGCATCGGTTAAGAGTCTTGATAATGAAGTTAGATGTTTCACCAGTAAAACGATAGAAAATAATGGATTGCCGCCATCCTGGCTGCTCCAATTGGAGGTTTATCCATCTTATTAATTGGTTTGTCCTCTATTATCAATAAGGTAAATGTACCGTTTTCCTTTGACTGCTTGCCGCAAAAATCCCTCATTTTGCATCCGCTTCATAAGACCATGAGCAACATTGTACTCGACACCTAAAGCGATTGATTTGACAATATTAGGTCATTCATTAACCAACATGCAGCAGGGTCTTGCTGTAAAAAGGGTGATTAAATTGGCCAATCTGAAATCTATTGTACCATGACGTGAACTACGACTAAACCACTTGTATATAAGTTATCCCCGGGCCTGACGTTGCCGTGTGAACTTGGAAGGCGCAGATTTTGGTTTTTCTACATACGTTCTAAGGACATTGTTTTAGGAATTTCTGGTTTACAAGATGTGGTTCTTCGGGGTCTTATATTTTCTTAAATTGACTGGCATGGTAATGCATTAAACGAATCTTTATGGCAGTACAGTATTGCTCTTCCTCTCTCATGGAAATTATTCCCACCCACTTTTCATGCAGAGTATGGGTAAACACTCTAAACATATACATCACTACGTCAAGCAATTGTGGAACAAGGTAAAGTCAGAGTAAATTGCACAGCTTGCTTTTAGATTCGAAATACCGAAATAAGTATGAATTTAACAATACGAATATATGATATTTCGTTGCAAAAAATGACTCGTAGTATTGTAATCGTCTAATTGTATCAAATTACTAATGGCAGCTGTTTGAATGTTTTCTTTGAAAAATTTTAATAATTACTATGGAAATTAATTTCCATGCATGTAAATTAATAACTGTATGGATTTTCTAATATTAATTGGACGTACCTAGTCTATCGGCAAATTTTGGAGCCGTAAGTCGAGTTGATCCACGACAGGCAACTAAAGCACGCCTCCACAAGCATGTTGTCTATAATCACACAACAAAGAATTCGTTGTCTGCCTGCTTTCATGCAGAATTAACGTGAGAAAAAGAAAGAAAAATTCGGCTCCGTACGTGGTATACGTACAAAAGAAATCTCGGGGGGAACGAATATATGAATATCCAGCCCCCCGGCAATTATCGTGTCTGGTTTCAACTTTGATTGCAAGTGAGTTTCGCACTAATTTGTCTCTATACAAACCTGCAACTTTACAGGGGTCAGTCCAACTAAAGTACCATCAGTACACTCTTTATTCTCACTCTGAAATAGAAATAGGTCAGCAAGACTAAGTGATGTCATTTCAGAGTTGATTTTGAACTTTTTTTAATAATAAGTTTCTGTTCGGCATATGAAAATAGAACCAGAAATGGCATATCCATTACGAGTTTTGCAGTCAAAAACGACGTTCAATTCTATGCGGATAACCCTGACGCTCTTTGCACTCAGGAAAGTCACATAATCAGATTAGATTAAACGAAAACTTCGAATTATATACAATTTCTCGGATTAAGTAATGAAAAACAACCTTACGAAAAACAAAGATGAATGAAAAATGATAAAAAAACAACCTTAGCACACTGAACACAAATATGCATTATCGGACAATCTTCTTCAGCAAAAAAGCGATAGCAGGAAGCATGTTGCCAGTTCTTGCAGACACTACACAAGATCATCATACCATCGTCCTAAAAGTGCATTCAATAACATACTGAAACCGTATCATTGTACTATGAAATGGCGCGGGAAGGGACTGGGACTAGTTGTCAACTCAAAATCTCATGAAATGCGGCTTTTTTCTAACTGAACATAATCATGAAAACCACAAACCCCGTTGTATGCACACGAGCATTGGACAATGACTTCCTTTGAAGTTGGTACCAATTGTTCATCAGCAGGCGTCAGCGTGATCGGTGTCGGTGCTTTTTCATTTGCTTCACTTGCAGCATTGTAGAGACCTGTGATGAGGCAAAATAAATCAATTCTGAGGTCTTAAGCTTCAGTTTTAAACGCTATGAACACTAGACCAGTCAGGATGTACTTACTATTTGTAAGTTATCGCAAGGCCGTCACTAGAAGCTTAATCTGGGGGGGTGTATATTCATATATCCATAAGATATAGATAAGAATATATCAATATTCACCCCCCCCCCTCAATTAGGCTTCTACCTATGGCCCTGAGCCTAGCCTAGCCTAGGCTAGCCTATATTGAAACTGAAAATCGTGTCAAGTACATATGTTTTTACGTAAGGTACCTGATATACCAGAAAGAATTGATTATCTGTTTAAGAATGCAAGTAACACAAAGCACCTTTTTCATAGGGCGGGTCGTGTGGTGCCATATTTTTTGTTCAGTTATTTTCTTCTTTTGATAGATGGGAACGAGTGAATTAATTACTGATGTTCAAATATAGGCTCTTATATTATACCTCATGGGTCGGTTGTATGAAAGCCTGATAGCGCTATCCAGCCGGATAGTGTTTTTTCAAGTCGCTTCGTTGTTGGGTATAACTTTGATTAAATCTTATTACCACCAAAGTGAGGGTCCTTTTTAATAATTTTTGGTTCCAAATTTGAAATTTTATTGCTTTTCAAGCATTTTTAGAACGGTTGAAAAACTCACTACCTGGTGGATCGCCCCATCCGGCTTTCATACAACCGGCCCCAAAGCATTCGTAACTTACTACTTATTCACATCTATCAAAAGATGAAAATCACACGTAAAATCGCAGCAAAAATTGCAAGTGTAAACGCGCCTTTAGCGCATATATCTATTGAACCTAATTAAGAGATTAATGGGTACCTGGAACATCTGGGGGATTCAGGGGTGCGGTAGAGCTGCATTCCATTGCTTCTTCCTCTAAAAACGTTCAATACAATTTAATTAAACGGTACAAGGCAAAGCAAAGCAAAGCAAAGCGAAGATTACAATTTTGAACCCAAAAGCAAAGGTTAAAGCCAGACAAAGTTGGTGATATTTCGATTTCATTACAAAATCATCATCAGACTAACGAAATTTACAATATATACATATTTGGATTCTGCTTTGCCTTGTATTTTTTGAAATTTTTGCAAACCTTTCATTGTTTCCTTTGCATCTGATCCATCTTTCTTGGGCGGCTGTAATTCTAATAAACTTACAGCTGATTTCTCTGGTTCGGCAATAAGATACGGTTCTTCGCTATCACCTGGTGCATTGTTTAACGCCTTATTGAAGAAACAAGTAGAATATTTCCATGAAAACTACGTAGGATATTTCCATGAAAACTACGCAGGATATTTCCATGAAAACTACGCAGGATATTTCCATAAAAACTACGATTATATTAGCGCTAACCCTTGGTTAAATTTTAATCCACTGTTTTGGTTTAAGTGTTTCTAAACCGCATTCTCGTACAAAACATGGCTTTCGTCGGTCCAAAGTAAATTTTAAAATGATTTAAATCAATTTGTAGGAACATAAATAACGATCATGTATAGTTAGCTACATTTCTGCAGTGAAACATAGCATACCTTCGGTTTGGCTTCTTCCATATTTACAGATCTTGCATCAACCTCGTGATCAAGATAAGATTCTTCCTCCTTTCTTTGCAGTTTTCATCATTTTCCACATCATCATGAGTTTCATTCGCATCTTGCCATTGTTGAAGCTCAGATCGAACACGGAGTCCAACCCTGCAGTTTCATGCATGATGATAATTTTTATTCCGGCAAAACTGAACCGCATATACAGCTGACCAAAGTGCGATTTAGAGACTATTGTATTGAGGCTACTATCAGCTTAGGACACATTCGTATGTATTAATTCAAATAATTAATTAATTTACAATTATTTAACTATTAGTTCATTGAAATTGATTATTCAAATCAATATTTACTTACATATGAAAAGGCTGCGTGGATTATCCAATACAAGTGGATGAAAAAAAATAATCCTGTTAAAATTGTACTTGGGGCAATACAAAATCAATAAAAAAATCAGATCATATAAGATAGTTCAAAAGAACCTCAAAGTATTTGAAAATTGGTTTTCATACCGTGTTAACATTACCAACAACAATTCTCTGAATATCGTCTTTAAATGAAGGCCCCAAATAATCAGTTGCCTATGGAACATATTTCAGCGGATATGGGTAGACATTTGTAGCTCAAATAATTTTAGTAAGCTTTGTTTGAAGATAGCACCCTAGCTTCAAGAATCCATGATTGCATGTAGTTGCTTAGCATACCTCAAATCCCGGTGGCTGATAGTCGGGTGGTGTGACTGAAAATAGTTCAAATAGTAAAGTGATTGTAAACGTGCTAGCGTGATTAATAATCTATGTAAGACTTATGTAAAAAATATGATGTATGCGAATCAAATCTCGATGCAGGTGAAAAATCAACACGAATAACATACCATCGTCGTAGTAGAGAATTTTCATTGTCATCATCACATCATCTGAAGTGTTTCAGGTATAAAATTTAATGACATAATAATCAGCTTAGAATTAGGATTTTTTTTGGCACGCAGAACAAAGTTCTAGGTGCTTAGCCCCCCTTGCTGACATGTTCACGGGTGTGGGCTAAATCCAGGATTGCTGATTTGAGTCATTATCCCATACATATTGTAAAAGCTGCATGTGTTCCTATTAGCTAAGAGCAGGGGCGTTCAAATTCGAACCCACGTGCCAAACCCTGTCCTAGTTAGATGTTATAACCGTTGCTGTAATTATGATATAAATTCACTGCAGGTTTTTGGGATCACTTTAAATAGCTCAATACAGGAAGTAAAACTTGCAATCCACTTTACTCAATGTAGTTATAACTTGAAAAAATCGAAGTTGTGATGCAATCTTTGAACGGGTCAGAAAATTGTTAATGCATACATACCAGGCAGAGATTTTAAAGTTTGAGTCAAAAGCACAAGAGTTCTAAACGATAACAGTAATAATGAAAATAATTTTGGCAGCTGTTACATAGAAACTATCCAGCTTATCTAAGTTTAGCGGCAAAGTAAGAATAGACGTGACTGTATAAAGCGTAACGAGATGCGATCGGACAGTCGTGAGTTCCTAACAACCTATTTCGACTAATGTCGGAAAAAATTGTCGTTTATTTTGTATAATGCAAATATACCTTAAGAGACGGATTGTGGCTCGTTTCGTCTCATCTGAAGTCTTTGCTTGTTTTTCTGATGCGATTTCTTCGCCATTACTAAAAAATGATATCTTAAAATGAGCAGGCAAATAATAAAAATGCTGCCATATTTGTTTGATTTTTACATTACATTTTCCAAATGAGGTACATAATAATAGGATTTATACATAGTTTTCTATATCATTTTGATTGAAATATCTTACCGGTATATGTTTATTCCATCACAGTAGTAATCAAACTATAAAAATATCATGATTTGTTTAATTAATGTGAAATGTAGTGAATTTAGGAAAAGTAGAACCACACAGCATCGACATCAATGAAAACTTCTCCACTCATTAAATGAACTTGCCTTGAAGGTATATGTTTCAATCACCGTCTACAATATGTATAAAACCCCAATAAATTTACTCTTATAGGAATAATTTGCGTAGGTGTGATGAGGTAAATGAGGTATTAATGTTTATAGACGTAATTTGGGGAAGAGTTCTTTTTATACATCGAAGTCCTTATAACTTTAAGATTTGTAAGCAGCGGTGCCTTGTACCGTGCATGTGTAAACTTGCATGATATTCCTACTAACTCCTTTTGCGCATGCATATCACTGAAAGAGAGACCGAGAAATATGACGAGGAGCAAATGAGTTCGAAATAAACCGCGAATCGTTTTGATAAAAAACATCAACCATGCATGCATAAACAGATTTCACGGTACCAACGTTGTACCCCTCCCAGAGTTTTTAAATGCTCATAGGGCTAACTTACTCTCATACTCCGGTGAAGCTTCAGTAAAATGAGGATTTGTGCAAAACGTATATCGAATTAAAACCTACAAAATTTTTAACATAATATACTTCCCAAATTCTTTGGGTGTTTGTATATACACCCTTTGCCAAACAAGTTCAGCCTAAAGCTACTTTTGTTTTAGCGCAGCTTGACGAAACAACACGTCAATTTTTGGCATCTTCCTCTTCCTAAACATTATTATTCTGCTTCTATTTCCCACTGCGGGCAAGAGTAAAAGAACACGCCTATGATATCACCTTAATACCAACTGAAATGTTAATACCAGTAGAACTGTAATTAATAATATTATCTGATTCTCTTTTACTTACATCAGGGTCACTTGCATTCAAATAGAACTATAAAAGGATTATAAATTTTTATAATGACGAGGTACTACGCCATAATAATGGAGTTGATATATGATCATTATAGTTGAGATAATGGAGTGGATATCAGTGAGCTATATGCCTATATTGAACAAAGATTTGTAGCACTTACTCCCAATATGATCTTCCTTAGCTATACAACGAAACAAAAAAATATATCATAAATTATACATATCATAGATTAACAAGTCAAGGATTAACAAGTCCTCCAAACCAACCATCCATCCTTCCCGCGCTGACAGTTCAAAGTGTAGTGTTGAATGAATATCTCTTGAATGAAAGCTAGGATTTTTCGGTAAAGATCATATAATTCATATACCGGTAGTGTCTAGCGCCTGTATTCAAACAGCTCACTCGCACTCATTGGAATGAGTGTGACACTGATTGACATTTTGTTATTACTGCATGATTAACGAGAAAGTTCTGTATTAATCAGTGGAAAGATCCAAGGTAAAACACTGGTAATCAAGTTCCTTTTTGAGTGGAAATGCCGCCATGAAAACTTTGTGAGAAGATTGAGATCACCCACTCAATGAGTTTGAGTGTGAGTGAGGTTTTAGAACACAGGCGTTAGATGAATTAAGTGTGAACGATATAATTGAGTAAACGTACATATTTTTTGTCGATTGCATTGAAACAGCCTTTGACCCTATAACAGAAGAAATTTTCAGAAATAAATTGTTTCTTCTAGGATATACCTCGAATACTGACCTGCTCGCTCCAACCGTTTTGCGCTTGCTTGAAATAATAAACGACATACTGTAAAAAAGACTAAAAAGTATAGTGTCTCTCCCTACCATTGAATAACTTGACTTGATCCAGGGAACGCATCTTCATCTCGCAAAATCTTCAAATTTAAATCTACAAAGTCAAAGTAAGTGCTTTAAACGTGTTAGAAGTGTGAAGATTTCAAACTTCCAAATGTTTCAACCTCTATTCATTCGCAATATGGCCCCGTTTACACTATACCGGCCGAATTCGCTTTTCATGATATCTTCTTTTGTCTTTAAAGAGCAATGGTTGATAGCTTATTTCATTATAAAAAACACACACCTTCCAAACACCGATCACCAAAGCATCTTTCTGGGAAGACCGCTCTGTATGCAATAAACAACTCTATATCATATTCTACTTCACGGCAAACAAATGATTAAAAGCCATTTCCTGTGGATCATAGTCAGTGGAGAAACAGTCTGAAGACTCGGCTAAAGTAGACATTAGCGTCAATCGAACGTTAAAAATCAGCCTGACATAACAGAATATACGAATATGGACTATATGGTCGCCTTCAATTAACGTTGGATTGACGCCCATGAAAGTATATCGTTCATACTGCTAAAAAAGCAGGAGTTTTGCACGTTGAAGCCTTTTTTAACATCGAATCTTAGCTCTTAGATTGGTTATATATTTGAATATTTTCTGATTTCCTGGCCGTAACTCTATCGCATGACTTTTAGAAAACATTTGGCACGAGGCTCTTACCGTAAATATGTCACGCTGGAAATCTGAACGATAAAGAGGAAAGAAGTGAGTGATTTTAACAAGCTCTTGTTGTGTGTATAATTATGCATTGATTAATTAATACATGCAGCTGACTGGCGATTTAATTAGTCCATTGGCATTGTGGAAGGCGAATACACGGTTCAAGACGACGGAATTAAAATATTTTTTCTTATGCATACACGAACGGTTCAATTTTCTTAAACTGCAATTTACAGGTTCAGCCATGAGCCATATAATAAACCGAACATTACACGGTTCGCTCGAAGATATGGATTTTATGTTCTCGTGTCAAAAACGATGCCAACGTGTAATATCCTATATTTATCATGCACGTTATCTCGTATAATAGCGTGCAAGAAAAATCTCGCATCACACGTTAATAACGTTATGACGTCACACGCTGGACATGACGATTAACACATGGCTATTAGCCTATCTTAGGTTTCGAATTCTTTTAAATAAATAATAAAGCTAATTATTGCATTCCAATAACGAATCAATGATGCATAATTGTAATTACTTACGGCAACTGCAAGCAACTTTTTCACGAAAAGAGCTGATTGGGTCTCTGTGAGAAAAGCACATGGGTAATGATTAACAGATTAAGAGTATTTATATGGATGATAAAGTACTCTAAAAGGAGGCTATATTACTATGAGAACTTACCATTCAGTTGCTCAGAGGAATTGAAGATACTTGACCACTGAAACACACAAATTAAAGTAGCTACGTCAGTATCGATTATCGTGAGATCATAATATTTGATCTTTACCATTGCGTCCCAATATAACCTGGGAGTAGCGTGGCCCTGAAGTGCCCCTGAAGTGCCCCTGAAGTGTGGTATAACTGCCTAAAATAGACAAAAAAAAATTCTCGACGCTTCAACCGTAGGGCCTTCGTCACGAGAGTTAATCAGTATGGATACTATTAAATCATACAAATCTCCTGACGAAGGTATTTCTCAAACGTTGAAAAGTCTTTTTCCGCCTATTTTAGGCAATGTTAGACCAGGTGTGTAACTATAAACCATGTAGACCTATCACTTTTTTGTCAGGGAGTCATTTTATAATTGTTTGTTTACATCGGAATAAAAGATCTCATACAAAGTTTTGGATCAAATTTCGACTTGATATCAACCCTAATGAAAATATTCATGTAAAGGAACTCGGGCCTATTTGCCACTAGACGAATTTGTTTGCACGAATTAGGCGAATGAACAATGCAATTTTCCTTCATTCTGAGGTCGATAACAATTTTTCTTTGGCTTACCGATCCAGTTTTGACTTCAGGTTTTTTCAATTGCGAAGTAGCCATCGGCATTGTGAAATTTTGATTTTCCAATAGACTATAAAATAGTATTTTGGTATAAAAAACACTGAATCGTGATGTTTTAACTCATAATATAAAGCATAAACTTCGTAGTCACGCCTTTCAATGGAGTTTTTTTCTTACGGTGGGAGGAATTATCTGAGGCAGAACATCGGTGGCGATACGAGAGAGCCTATATAATAGGGGTTTCCTTTCATTTTTGAAAAATTAATGCCAATATTAATGGCTTAAATCTAAAGACACCAAAGCCAGAATACATCAATACATATGAAGATAGCCCTCATCAATTCCACAGGCTGCCATAAACATGTTAGATGACGCATTTTTGTGAAAATATTTAGTATAAATTATATACGGCCAAGAGCAGAAAATGTGTGAGTGTGTGACTATAATTTATACTGCATGACAACACTACGTCTACAATATAAGTGTTGTTTATCTTGTCACACTTACTGTCAACTATAAGCCTTAGCAACAACTATCAACGACTCCACTTATCAAATATTTGCAGCGGTCTGCATTGTGGTTAAAATACGTGTAGTATTCCTGATATTTGTAGTGAAGTTTTGTGAAGGAGAGGCCGAAGCATGCGATGGCTACCAGGCGAATCTTTGATGTTTGCATTCCGAGTCAGATATTTGAATTGCTAGAGATAACAATACTACAGTAAAACCACAAAGCAAACCCTTACGAATATTTGCGGCAATTCTTTGACTATTTCTAAACAATTCAACCACGATTCTTTGCTCTTTCAAAGTACCATAAGTCAACACTCGATCAACAGCTCAGAAGCCTAATAACCGTATAATTTTACGCCTAAAAATATATGCCAGTAATAAAACCTTATTAACAAGCTTACTAGCGACAGAACGTCAGCCAAGAGGGTATATACCTTTATATTTTCAGATAATTTTAGATAAATCGGAATTTCGTTCTGTATTTTGTAGTTTCAGACTTTCAGTACAATCATACGGTTTTTACCTTTTATTACGACTTCACGATATTCTTTCCCGAAGGCGATACGAATTTAATTCGAGAAAAATAGAACAGTCTTCCTTCTTGCTCAGCTTTTAACAATAAAATTATATTATCCAAGAAATAATATGAAATATTTTCGTCTTTGAAGCAGATAACTGCTTTATAAATTATTGTTGTGAAGTAAAAATGGTTTTGGCGGGAAACAAAGAATGTCCCCATACATCCATCATATTACATTTATACCCCCCGGTAACAATCAACAATTATTGCTTTTCTTCTGTAAGTTTCCGTGTCGAATGGAAAAAAATGCCCCGCTAAACGCTAGTTCGGGAAAAACGGCGTAAATAAAACATCGAATATGCTGAATTATGAAATATTGTCGTAATTATAAGATTTAAGGTCGATTTAACGAATGATGCCGTACTTATTGAGTAAATTTTTAGCTTGTAGGTACACCACGTAAGTATTTAATACTGCAAAGCCACTGAGCTGTGCAAAGCCATTAACACGGGTCTTTGCAGTATTAAATACTCAGTATTAAAACACACACATACCACATGTGTACTTACAAGCTAATTTACTTATTGATTTCACCGTGAAAACAGGCAAGAATAGATGTATCTTTTAGTAATTTACTTGATCACAACTAATATATCGTTAAACTAAGATCGTTCGTAGGTGACGGGGGGGAGGAGGGGTGAATGGGTGAACGCGGAATGGACCTAATAGGAATGCTAGTGTTTGATGAGGTGGGAGGTTGTAGCCTTCTAGTGATCCTGAGATGACTTTTTATATATACCTTCTGGCAGGCTCAGTTGTATAAAAAACGACTTACTATCTTGTATGCATTGATAAGATTGCGATAATTCACGACTCGTTTCTCTCGGGAAAAGTAATTAAATTTTTTCGCGAAGGCTTATGGAGTTCAGTAAATTGCAGATTTGCCTATTAGTCTAGTAATCATTGACTTAGACAAGAAAAAACAAATAACGTAGGCGGTAACATTCCTGGTAAATGTTTGCACATTTGATGAAAAACTGTAAGAACATCTCTGAAGGAAGAATATTGAGGTAAGAGGGAGTGATTATAATGTAACCAGATTCCTGTAGACTTTCTAAAATCACCGCTAGGAATAAGTAGAAAGTTGTAGAAATTGTATATTACAAGAACATGAGTAAACTAAACACGTGGCGCACACCAGGCGGATGAAGCGCTACTCCCTCCGGAAGATTCTACAGGCCCACACAGACAGGACGGGAATTGGCAACGAGGCGCGAATTTTCAACGTTTTATATTCTTCAAAAGCAAATAAATTTTAACTTATCAAAATTTTCTTGTAGATTACATGAATAGATCCCAAATTTTGATCTCAGAATTTAATTTATATGCTTCTGAAAACTGAAAATTCGCGTCGCGTTGCCGCTTCGCGTCCAGTCTGTGTCGAGCTTAAGCATTTCGGCGCAAGCGCCTGTTTCCCGAACAATAGGCATTGACAGTGCCACCAGTTTTATTCTTTTTATGTGCGCGGTCATCTCAATACTGCGTGAATATCATACAAGCATATTATTTTAACAACAGGAGATTTTTAAATTTTAACGTTAGCGCTAAATTTGCTCAGACGCCGAAAATATCGAGCGGAAGATTTCGTCGTGCACGAAAATTAATTATATAGACATTGCCTTCAGGCGACTGTTCACATCTTCATTTATCAATAATGTCGCAAGGAACAGCTTCATTTTAGATACAATTCTTAACAAAAAAAGCTAGCCGCCAGATAAAAAAGTTGTCGCGTTCACAATATTTAATCTTTAGGAATTAATCAAACGCATCTGAGGTCAACAAAATAGCGGGGAAATTTTACGCCATGTAAAAGCCAATATTATAAAAGCTTTGAATTGTGGTAAAGATATATTCATATAAACCTTAACCCTGTGACAATCCAGTCATTGTCATAATATTTGTCATAATCAGTCAGAATCAATTTCAAAATCCATATTTACATTTTGATGGCCTACCGCTGACCCAAATTTCATTAACTGTCAATGGTGAGAAATTCCAAAATTATTACATAATGTATTAGCAGTAAGAAAGCTAGTATTGTTGCCTATTATGCAAATGGTGAACTGTATTTTCGTTTTTGTATATTCCCTACAACGGATATGTGCAACATCAAGTGTCTAAAATCATTGAAAGTTGTTTTCACTGTGTTTTTGATTCTGTTTTGGGTAAGTACACAATGTATGTCCAAATTATATTTGCTGAAAATGATAGGCGGAAAATTCGATTCTGCATGGAAGTGGCACAAGGCCAGTTGAGATAAAAAGTTATCTTTCGACGAGGACCTAAACGTAACAGGCCCTTTAGTGGTAAAATGTGTGAATCAGAATGTTTCCAAAACTTGGTATATTAAACGACGGATGATACGCTTTCGAGGCCTGTGCTGTTTTCTCCGTAAATATTTTGCTAAATGAGAAATGACATTTTGTACACACACATGTTCTCAGCTTGACATCCGTTCCGCTTTCAGCTGCTCGGTGTTTGCCTTTTATTGAATACCCTAACCACATTATATTAAATGAATATTTCACTATTTTTGCTGTGCTTTTATCTACAAAACTTAATGCTTACACAGACAGTTTTGACATTTAATTTGCATTTCGTATCAGATTTATAATATTACGCTGCTTCATCCGGAGATGTTATTAATCGCAATATCGTACATTGTGCATGCAATTGCAACTCAAAATACTATCGTGTAAAAGATATACATATAATCAAGATATTAGTTTCACGGTATATTTTAGAGTTGTTTAAGGCATTCACTCACTCACGCTTTAGCTTGCTAATATGAAAATAGTGTTAGAATGATATTGGCAAAAGCAATGAACTTTAATAAATCATGACCAAATAGAGTTAAGGGAATAACAAATTCAAGAGGAAAACGAGTGGATAGTCCTTGCGTTTTGCAACTAAAAATTTGGCGCCATCCTTCACTATGAGGATCTATTACATGAGAGTCTTGCAGAAAGGGAGGTTAACACAGTCAATAGTCCGATTCTTTATCCGAAATATGCTGCTGGCCTATGAAGTCGTACATTGAAGTTATTTGAAGTTTGCGTGACTGAACTCAACGTGACGACAATCGTGAACTAGTAATATTTGCTATTATTAACATCCACCAAAAGCCTTGAACCGGCCAACAAGTCAGATATTTATCTGTTTTATTACTTTACCTATGCACCATGATCTTAGAATGTGATAAGCCCCTCGTTTTTGGCGCGCTTTAAGCATAATCCACCGTAATACAAATAATCCGGCCCCTCCAGATTATATATCCATCTAAATATATCACTTATCCCATCCCAGTAATAGCGAGTTTCACACCTAAACTATCGCAAATTACGGTAATTAAACAGCGAAATTTGTAGCTGCATAACGCCCGAATAATTATTCTCATTGAACCTTGGACCTTCGTACTTTAAATGTGCAAGGATATATTTTCCTCTTTAATCCCCACGGAATTATCATACTGAAATAAACAACTGTCTACGTAAACCGCCCTCTGATATATCATTATGGCCACTCTAGTATAATAAATCCATCTTTAGAAAACATACGCTAGCTTTGTGTATAGGAGCATAGGGCTTATATTATTTCTTACTTCCTTTACCAGGATTTATGACAAAATGTAAAATCGTGACGCATAGTATGTCCAGAGTTTCAAACAACAAAATTTTAAATTTTGTACTCAAAAAATTATCGACATGCAGCACCTGCCTAGGCGTCCTGCTAACTTTATAAACAACTCGTTGAACGCGCTTTCTGATTTAAATAACTAGCTTAATTAAGGCAACGTTAATGGACGACAAGCCCTACTTGTTGCATTATGCAGAAAGCAAATATTGTAAATGTTAATTATTTATCAGGTCAGTTATTCTGTACTCGCCCAGCATTGTTCTTCACTTTCACAATGACATTCTGTCATATCTGCGACATTTGTCTGTACACCGACCTTT